CAATTATACTATGCCTGATGATATAGACAATTCTACTGAAGATAACAAGAGACAACACAGTAACCACTGTAGAACACCTTGTACTGTGTTTTATGACTTTTTCATTTCATGTTTTTATAGGAATGTTTTGTTTTGTCTTGCTTTGTTTTGTTTTTCTCTCTAACACAAAAAGGATAGAAATACATGTAGAGACTCATGCATGTGTAGAACCTACAAACAGTTTATGAGGACTTACCATGTAATGCATGATGAACAACTGCTTTGAAGAAAAAGAGACACTACCGTACCCAGTACTGATTCCGTAGTTTCATGATGTGAAATCAAGCAATACTATTATTCTTTGTTCAGATTGATTTTAGCCTGTTTTGTTTTGTTTAACATACCTGAAGATATGGACAGCTGTTTTGAAGAGAATGAGTGACACTATGACAGCCATTGTTGACTTCCCCATTGTCTGGTCTTGAAGATTTAAAACACCTTCCTCATCTTGTTCAGATCAGTTCTATACTGTGTTGTTTTGTGTGAACTCTCTGTATGTGAAGACATGGTCAACTATTTAGAAGAAAACAGACAATATGATAGATAGTGAAGATCTGATTTGCTTTGAAATTTTATGTCTCTACAAACATATGTTCTGTTTGGTTCTGTTGTTGTATTGAATTTTACCCTCTTTAAAATTAAAAAAAGAGGGATGAAATGGATAATTAAGAAAGCAGTTCATGCTTCTTCCATTTAATTTTTAAATGACCAAGCAATAATGGCAAGATGGAGAAAATAAAGTGAATGTTAAAAAAAAAAGTGGGATATATTTATTCAGAGAAAGAAAGCTTCTGTCTGAGAGACAGAAGGGGACCTAAGCAGGTACTAAGACTGTCTTTTCTAGGGACTTGTATAAAGTAAAACCACAAGGTGAGATGGATACAAGATGGGGAAAACTTGGGAACTCCCAAGGTGGGCATGAGGTGGAACAGAACTATGGTCAACCAATAAGATTAATTGCTTAGGTAAAATTGATTAATTCAGGAACAAATGGGGAAGCTAGTCATGTAGTAAGTGGATGTGCTTAACAGCAGTGACTCTTCCTGTAGGGGCTGGAATGGTGAGTCCTGACTTCCTCAGGGTGTTAGGAAACTATTTGGACTACCAATCCTTAGGATGTGGGTGTATTTGCTTTGCCTTTTGTCTTGAGAGCTGGCCCACAGCAGGAGGTGTTTGTTTCCTCAAAGGTTGCAAAGTATCTGGTCTTCTGCACTGACTCCTTTGAGGGCCCAGCCCTGTCTGACTGCCTGTAATAGGTTTAACTAACTCAACTGCCTATAACAAGAGGAAATATAAAGGCCATTTGTCCTCTATCTACATCTGTGTATAAAAAACAAGAGACTGGCTGGTTACTCTGCTGTGTAGGTTCTTCATTTTTGAAGCCAGTACATGACCTCTCATTTCTACTGATGAATACTATTATTAATTTTTTTTAATCTTGGGTGAGTTACATCTCTGTACCTCAGTTATCTATTCTATAAAATGAAGTTTTAAAAGTTGAATCAAAAGTTGAACTTTCATAGGAAAGTTGAATTAATCTATGTAAAAGCATTTAGAACATTCCCACCACATAGTAGGCATTATATAACTATTAACTAGGTTTCTATAGCTAACAGGTCCCTGAAGTTACTCCCAGAAAACTACCTAGTACTGTTAGAATTTTCGGCACGGAAGGGAACTATCTGATAAAATTTTTGGCATGGCTAAAAAGATAAGTATGAAATAAAAGTGGCCTTTATTATTTTAAGAATGTGGGGAGAGACTCTGACCTCCAGGGTCTGGCATTCTCTCCGCCAGACAAGTGATGGGGGCACACATGTAGTTTAGGTTTGGGTGGTGCCTAAGGGGCATTAGTGATGCACAGGCAGCCCATTGGTATTCATTTCATGCCACAGGTAAATTGCCTAGGGGCAGGAAAGGTGACCTCAACATAGAGCCCCTTGATTCCGCATCCAAGGCTCCCCACCTGCTACGTGTCCCATCTGGGGCAAAATCCTTTCAGTACCAGTAGGAGGGAGCAATCTTGTAAAGTCAAAGAGGAAAAACCTCAAAATAATACTGAAAACTATTGCTTTTCACACACTATTATGTCTCTTTCCTGAAAAAAGTGAAACGTAGGGAAAAGGCCTTGTCTTAGTCCTAGCATTACTAGACAAGTAGTCTCTGAGTCTTTGTATCCTGAACAAAATTATCGCAGGACACACACAGAAGTAGTAAGAGCAGAGATTTATTAAAAGACAAGTATGTACTCTAAAAAGTAAGGGCAGGCCAATGAGAAAGCTCAAGAGTGAATCTGACTCCAAGTGAGCCTATCTGCTTTAAATTTTGAGGTATTATATTGAGAACTTTCCCAAATCTTGGGTGTCACTAACAGGGATTCTGCCTAATTGAGTCTCCACCCTCAACTCAAAAGACAGTGAATTTTGAATTTATATGGGAATAGGAGAACCAATGTGGCTGCCAAAATGCACCACGAGTGTCAAACCCACAATTCTACTGATATTATAATAACCATGGTATAAACCTTAGTTATTCTAGCTCAGTTAGAGCCCAAGCCTTTTGATCTCATGCAGGAAGTGATAAGAACAAAAGGGTCCCTTAGGCTTGTGCTGGATGTCAAGGAAGTATAAAGAGAAGAACATATTTTTTAGGTTTCCACCTGGATGTTTGGAAAGTTTGGTTAGAGCAGGATGCCCTTGTACTGTCTAAGAGCCAAAGGCATCCTGCCTGTTGTGAACCTAAGGCAGGATGTTTCCCACACTGTTACAGCTATTTGTGTTCCTGTCACAGAATACCTGAGACAGAGTAATTTATAAAGAACAGGCATTTCTTTCATTATAGAGGTTGGAGACTCAAGTTCAAGGTACTTGCCAATTCAATGTTTTAAGAGCCTGATCTCTACTTTCAAGATGGTGCCTTGTTTCTGGGTCCTTTTAATGGTGTAAGGGTGGAGGAAAAAAACAAAACAAAACAAAACTTTATCTTCACATGGCAGAAGGCCAAAAAGGGCCTTGCTAGTTCCCTCCAGCTTTTTTTGTAAGGCATGAATACTGCTGGTGAGGGTAAAGACTTCATAGCTTAATAAGACTTTATCTCTTAATGTGGTTTCAGTGGAGATTGTTTCAACATGAATTTGGGAGAGTACAGTCATAGAAGGCCTCTAAACAATAAAAACTGGGCTAAAAAGATGGTTAATTTTGTGGACCATAGGCCGCCTAGAAATTTTGGGTGTTCTGTGAGGGTATAAATGAGATACTTGGTGAAAGGTTTCTGGCCAAATATTAATCGCTAAACATTATGGTGGTGATCGAAACATAGCCAATGGCCAAAACAATAGCTCATTTTCTGATGACCAATTCCTCTCCTCCCCTCAGCATTGATTACAACTTCCTTCCCCACCACCACTCCACACTCAAAGAAAACTACAATTAGTCTTTAACATGCCATCAACACCTATCCCCAAACTCTGCCTCTGGCCAGTTTATCCACCTCTGCCCCACTTTGTCTCTGGTCAGAGGAGCCCAGTGAGCTGAACATGCTAGTGAGTTGTGCACTCCTCTCTGCTTCAAGAGGCCTCTTTTTCTTTTTGCTTCTTAGTGCCAAAATAAACCTGACACTTGGTCGTAGTTCCTGGCACACAGTTATGAAAATCTCAGGATTTCCTGGCTTTTGCCATTCATAATTAATACCCTTTCAACTATACCTGAGTTTGTATTAATAAGGTGGCTCTCTAGAGATGGGGGCTGCTTGCCATAGAAACCAACTGTGTAAGACTGAAACTTTCAGTTATATTTGACCCTCAAGCCACCATCTCTAGGGGCTGGTTGAGGGCTAGGACTGAATCCCAATGGCCAATGACTTAATTATGCTTATGTAATGAGACATCCATAAAACCCCTAATGATAGGGTTCAGGGAGCTTCTGGACTGGGGAACACATTCATATACCTGGAGGGTATTATATTCTATGGAGACAGCAGCTCTATTTTAAGACACGAGTCAGCTCACTTTTCTGTACAGTGTCACATAGTGTGTATTTTAGGTTTCTGGGCCCAATAGTGTCTTGCAACTAAGGAGTAGCCATAGACTGTGGAGAATCACCTGGACAACTCTTCTTCAAAGAAAAGCAATTGTTTCCATTTTTGCTAAACCTGAACTTATTTCCACGTACTGATATGTACAGAGCTGGCTAAGCCTTTTCCTTATCCCTTCAATGGGCTTTAAGCAATGCAAATCAGTCTAGCCTGAGGTGTTCATGTGTAGTCTTTGAAGCATGGCTGACCTGTGGCTTCCAAGCAGCATGTGTGAGCCAGAGGGGAAGGAGCCCCACGCTCTATGCTGTGGCTGGGTTTAAGCTTCAAGAGGACATGATATCTCAGGGCATAAAAAATTATACAACAGAGCTCAAGCATGATCCCAAAACATTAGATACTGCCTCAGATTGTGCAAATTACTTCCTGCATCTCTCTCCACACTGCAGATCTGTAGCCCTACTACCTAGGCCAGCAATGGCACTCCTCGTACTTCCCCCATCACAACTACAGGCACTCTTCCTTGAGCTACCCCCACTCAAGAATTAATAAAACTTGGGTTCTGTCCTGGACTAAGGCCTTTGTTCTGCCTAACCATCACCGTAGCTGGATTTAGGATCCCCTTGGCTCCCCATAACTATAAATATGCCTTAGTGTCTTTATTCTTGTCATGTGTTGCACTGGTAGTGGTAGATTGAAATTAACTTGCTAGGATCCCAATAACTTTTATAAATAAAGGGCTTGCTATCAACAGATATAACTGTGCTCCCATGAAACTTTATTTTGGGAAAAAAAAAAAAACAAAAAAACAACAGGTGGCCAGCTGCAGCACATGTGCAGACCTCTGGTGTAATGTAACTTTTCAAACTTTAAGCTTTACTGTTTGGCATTCTATTTCTTAAACCTGAACAAAGCAGAGACTGACTAGAAGCTATTTACCAATTCAACTTTATTTCCACTTTCACAACTATTATCACTGGCTTTAGAAAAAGCCCTACCAATTCTGTGTTCCTGAATCACAAGCCCAGTAAATACACTTGAGGCCAAGCAAGTCAGAGGATTTTTTATTCACGAAGTGCATTCTTTAGTTAGCTTTAAATAAAGTCTAATTAACTAACCAGTAGGGGGTTTAAAATGATTATACAGATGATAGCTCATTGCCTTGATCACAAAAAAAAACCATCCTTGTAGATTATTAGCTTTTAAATATACATTCCAATGACTAAATCAAAAAGTAAGAATGTACTTACCATCAGTAAATTCAACTACTTTAGTTTTTACAAAGGTTTTAATCAATTAAGCCGATAATTAGTTTGAATTTTAATAAATACAAGTAATACTGCAAAATTTCCTAAGTTTGTAATACATCAATACCAGTCACAATCCAGAAGACATAAAGATGTATTTTTATTCCTTTTAAATGAAAAAGACCTCATATCCTAACAGGTGAGCTACCAAATAGTTTTACAGGGCTTCATTTTTATTTTCCATGATCAATCTCTTCCTCTTTGAAAATGTTTTAAAATGTAGGCTGAAAATTCTTTTTATTTGTTTATAGTTTTTATTTAGCTTAAACACTGAAAATTCTGACAAGCACCTAAAGAGATTCACAGTTAGTGCAAAAAGAAAGTATGTTTGGAAGTCATTCTTTCCCAGTATAAATATAGTATTATTGAGGTTACTAAACACATTTTATGTAAATATATAATTTCCTACTTTTCTTCCTGAAAGATAGTAGAAAAATATTAACATTAGGTATAGTGAGATTCATGACTTTCATGTATTATGAGCTTTAACTACAAAAAATATTTTAACCACATTCAGGGCAAAAATAAATTTACTGAGAATATACTTTCATTATTCCTTTTTCTTTCTTTCTTTCTTTTTTTTTTTTTTTTTTTTTGGTACTGGGGATCAAACTTGCGACCCTGCGCTTGCCAGGCAGGCACTTACATGGCTGACCTAAATCCCTAGCCCTATCACTGCATTATTTCTAAGATCAGATGCAAAAATGCTGATTGTTTTCCTTGTAAGTGGAATACATGTCAGAATACTTATGGCAGTCATTTGATATGAATGAATACATTAAAAAATACTGGTTAATCTGTGCAGAATTCCACATTTGCCTGTTTTACAAAATTTCCTCCATTCGGTAAGGCTTTGGTATGGGCAGTTTCCATCACTTCCATCATTTATCTTTCTTCTTTGCCTCTTTCTTCTCATTGTTCTGTTTTCTCATGTTTGGATCTGATGTTTCTTCTTCACTTTCCTTCTGAGAATCATCAATTATCTGATAGTCCTCAAGGAGTTTTTGTCCCGTTTGTTTTGCAGTTTTCTTCACCATTGCTTTGATACCAATGTTGTCAATATTATAGGCAGTTACGCCAACATTGATGGCAGAATCCACTGCATGGTGTGTAGCTTCTCCTGCATTATGCCCATATCTTAAAAAGGAGAGAATATACAATAAAATTATAAATGTAGGTTGTTACGTCATTTAACCCTTCCTTTTCTTTTTTTGTTTTTTGAAGAGCACAATATATTTATTGAAGGAAAAAAAGCTTCTGCCTGAAGAGAGACAGAAGGGGGTCCCGAGCGGGTTTCCCCAACCCTTCCTTTTTGAAAATACGTGTATAAGGAAAATTTTTCACTGAAGCAACTAAAGAACACAGAAAGAATTGAGTCATTATAAATGATCTTTGAAACTATGGGAACTTGAGTTTGTCTTTAAGCAGAGATTCTATAACCTTCTCCTTAGATACCACATTCTATTGTAAACTCACTGGCCTTTCTGCAGTCCCTTCAACCCACCAAGCAAAGGCCTTAGGACTTCTGTACTAGCCAGCATCTGCCTAGACTTTGCATGGCTCTCTACACCTTTTTCAAGTCAATCCAACTATTTTTTTTTTTTTTTTGTACCGGGATCAAACTCATGACACTGAGTTTGCCAGGAAAGCACTTATGCCACTGGGCTAAATCTGCAGCACAGTCCAAATATTCTCAGTATCTAACTTGCTTTTAAATGGCCTTCTTCCACCTGTCCTAAGTCAATGCCCACACATCTCCCCTTAAACTGCTCTTCTGTAACTCACTACCTTTTGCATAATACAGAACTTATTAATGACTACTCTGTATGTCCCACTTATCTGACTCATTAACATGTAAGCCCCATTGAAGATGAGAAGCTTCATTTTGTTTATTAACATATCCTAAGCACCTATTGCAGTGCTTGACATTCAATAAACATGTAGTGAATGAGTACAACTTTCCCTAAAGGTCTAGATATAAAGGTTTTCATTTGTTCATTTGGTGGTACTAAGGACTGAACCCAAGGCCTTTGCACTGAGCCAAAGAAAAAATTCTTTTTTCTTTTTTCATGTTGAGATGGGGTCTAAATTCCCCAACCTGGGCTTAAATCTGTCATTTTCTGCCTTAGCCTCCCAGAGTGCTGGCATTATAAGTATGTACCACCATATCCTGCAAAAAGTACAAGTTTCATGAGGTAATGAAAAAACACCTGCCAAAATATATATTCTGTCTTGTGTGCCATATTTATCAAGAACAGAATATGACTAAAACAAGGGCAACAAATGCCATCATATTTGAATTGATCACAACATATATAGACAGCAGCAGAGTTAATTCTGATGCTGTATTTTGAGAAAATGAAGAAAAAACTTCATTTGTCCCTAACAAAATACAAATTAAAGATGAGCAGAATAAGTACCTGGAAACCATACTATATATGAAATTGTTAAAGGAATTGAGAATACTTTGAAGATAAGGAAAAAAAACCAGTAATGGGCATAAAAACTACTTAAATATTTCTACTAATATCTAGAAAAGAAAAGAATGATCCTGAATGAATCTCAATAGGTATGTATGATATAGAACTGGTTTCAGGTATATCTCCTCTACCAATGGAGGTATATTCCTTCAACCCATGAAAATTTAATAGAAATCTTAATTAAATTTCACTAGCTAATCAAAATACTCTGCCACAAAACAAATTTCTTACAGGAAAATATTTATCTTTAAAACATTTTCCATAAATGCATAATTGAAGAAAAAATATTGGTAAGGGAAAATAAAAGAAAATCTTAGCAGAGTTATGTTACTTGCTTAAAACAACTTAAAGTGCAACAGAAGAAGCTTAGTAGTGAAATCTAGAAGCGGTGTAGAAGAGTAATGAATTATTCAATAGGAACTATACTGCAATTAAGGAAAATGGGTTAAAAGTTACTTATTGTTTTCACTGTCCCTGTAGGTCTTTATGTTCCTAAATCTAAAGTGACAAAACTATTAATGTATGACAAAAATAAATGGACTTCAATAATTCCTATACATCTACCTAAAAATGTTGAGGGTAGGTAACTCTGTTTCAGCTTATACCACTAGAAATCAGGTAAGGAAATTTATATAATACATTAGTTTCTCCCAGGCGTAATACATATAATTTAGGTACACTTAAAACAACTTCTTGAGAGAGTAATGCTTTATCATAGACAGTAAGAACACAAATATTAGTTATTATACTATCAATGCAATTACTTTGCTTGCTAATAGGAAAAAAAAACACTACTTAAGCCTGAACTGCATAGGGAGACTCTGTCTCAAAAAGACAAACAACAATAACAAAACAAAAAAATCCACTACTTAACTAAATCCTCACTTGCAGGAATGGATAAAAAGAATATTTATACATGTTCCACAAGTAAATTAACTCAGAACCACTATTAAAATATATCCTATTTGTCATATATATAACATATGTTGACTACAGATCTAAATACAAAATCAACATCAGAACCCAGTACTTCCTACTTATGTGACGCTCAAACTTGGAGAAAATAAACACCTCCATTTTCTAACATGACTGCATAATTTGTTGTGCTCACAAAAGATAATCTAAACACAATTCACTTTTGGCCTAATAGGCACTTCCAACTTTTCCTTTTCTTACTATAAAATATACTATTCTTCTAACTGGATCTGAGCTATCAAGGCCAGACACATATCTATTAGTGAGAGATTAATACTACAAGTACAAAGAGGCTAAACAGAAGATCAGTGTCTTCACATTTTTAGTGCAACAATTTCAAATACACTCTATTTTCTTTTTCAGTATTTCTTATAGAACAGATACTCCAAAATGGTGTGCTATGTTGCTTTGACTCAGGAGTTCTCATAGCTTCAACTGAGCAGATTAAAACTATGTGGGACAGAAATTAAGCTCAGTATTTCCTAAGCCAAAAGAAATCTATAAACATATTTAGACAGTGCTAGAAAATGACTCTAGAGTCCTAGCCCTGCACAGATTATCCACCACTGCAATGGTGACCCAGAACTGTTCTCTGTGCTGCAAAGCGTAAGTTCTGGTAACAGACACATTTGGTTTATATCCCAGATCTACAACTTAGTAAGGTTTTTTGTTGTTGTTGTTTTGTTTTGGGATAATACATGTGTCAGGGAGGGTGTTTCAATACAGGATCTTTGCACTAGGTTATACCCCTTTCTGTATTTTTTATTTGGAGACAGGGTCTAATTAAGAGAGCCTGGGCTGGGCTCAAGCTTGTGATCCTCCTGCCTCAGATTCTCAGTGTGCTGGGATTATAGATATGCACCTTTAAGCCTAGCTTAAGAGTGTAATCTTTTAACACTTTATACTTCATTAATTCACAAAACAGAGGTAATAGTATTATAAAATTAAGTGACTCAGATGTTAATAAATGAATGGGTGATAAATACAGATGATCAAGAATAATGAAATTCATTAATATTTTTTCTTTGTAAATAAGATCCAAACTAAATCAAAGCTAAGAACAACTCTAGTCCTTCAGACTAGATTAATTTTCAGACCTTGATTCCTCTAATACTTAAAGATAATATAGTCAGGAGGGAAAAATAAACAGCTGAAAGCAGATCTTGCTGTAAATCCCATTTTCACCACCACTTGTCATAAATCTGTTTACAACAGTTGCCATGTACCTACTTTTAGGCCTACCATAAACTGCATCAGTCATGTGGGTTCTTTCACATTTGCACAAGTTAAAATTCCAGTCTTAGTATGGTTGTCTGCAATACAGCTCACATATTCCTCTTCTAACTCAAAACTCTAACACATCCCACATCTGCTGACCACTGTAAGCAACCAATGGTCAACACCAGAGTCAATGAGTAAGTTTCCCTTTCACGTTCTTTTTTTTTTTCCTGTGGTTCCGGGGATCGAACTCACAACATCACACTTTCCAGGCAGGTGCTTATGCCACTGAACTAAATCCCCAGCCCCCACATTTGTTTTCTTTAAACTACCCAATTCTCCCCACAAAGAGCTAAAGAGATGTAAAAATGTCCAGTAAGACTACAGTCCCACAGGCTCACTCTCCCTCTCTCCACCATTTGCTCTTGCTAACCCCCTGCTTTGACTGTTCCCTGTTTTGTTGTACTGCTATCTGTCTAATCTTACCAGTACACCCAAACCTCTCTCAACAGGCAGTGTCCCAGAAAGTGTCTATTTTAGAAGAAATAAACTGGGTAATGTCAGGAGGATATCTACCAGCACAAACTCATTTCCTGTGAGAGAGACAAGTCACAGGATGGACACTTGAGCACTGTATCATCCACCATAACCATTACAAAAATCAGTATGGAGATTCTTTAAAACACTAAAAATAGAAAGTCTATTTAGCCAGTTATTCCACTTCTAAACATCTTCCTGAGTTAATGACATCATATTTGAGTGACATATGCATACCCATATTTATAGCTGTACAACTCATAATAGCTAAATCTTGGAAGAAGACTGTATGTCCATCAACAGATGAGTGGATAAAGAAATTGTGGTATTTACACATAATAGAGTATTACTCTGCCAAAAAAGAATAAACTTAAGTTACTTATAGGAAAATGGATACACCCTGAGATCATAATGTTAAATAAAATAAATCAGACACATAAGCTTAAATACTGCATGGTTTCTCTTATATGAGAAACTCAAATTACAAATAAAAATCAAAATAAAAAATAGATACTAGGAAGTATGGAGACAGATCTTTCTTAAATTGGAAAGGGATTCAAGAGATAGAGGTAGGGGAAGAAAAGGGAGGTAAAGGATTGAAAAAAGAATTAAGATATGATATGTATATGTACTAACCCCACAAGGAATGTATGATATATACTACAAATGTGCCAATAAAAAAATTAAAAGATAAAAATTTTTAGGTGGTATCTACACTGTAAACACCCACAACAACCTTTCCTGGAGTCCCATTAGGTAGGAAGGAGTAGAATTTATAAACATTCTCTAGAGATCTCAATGCCAAATCAGAAAAAAAAATCACTGATCAGATAAGCTTGTACAGATCATTCATTTGTTAATTTCTTACATTAAATACAAGAATATTCTCTTTTCACTCCAATATAAATGTATAGTGGTAAAGTCAGGTGTACCATAATTTAACAATTGTGGTATATAAGAATGGGTTATATTATAATGGGGCACTATAGTTTAATCAAGTTTTTGCAGGCAAACATCAGTGTGAAAAACAGGTATTATCCTTAATATATACAAAAATTCCAAGCTTTAAAAAAAAACCTATTACACCAATGATTAACACATAATAATTAATAACTTAAGGCAAAGTTATAGGAATTCCATTATGCTAAAAATATTCTCCTACTTCAGGAAATAGAACAGCAAAAAGAGAATTTGTTTCACAAGATATTTAACAAAATAAAATCATTTTAACTATCATGGACTTTTACAAATGATACAAGAGATTTAGTCATTAAAATGATAATGTCTGACTTACTTGTATCTGACAGTTTGTACAGTTTCGGCTGAAACGTTGTCAACAATGCATTTAGCTGCACATTCTAAACCCTGCCAGACGGTTGAAAATCCTGTAAATATATTTAAAAGTAAATCAAGCTCAATGTAAAGATATTCCTAGTGAAAATTATGAGAAATGAGGATATAATCAAGGTGTGGTAGAGCACTTACTCGCATGCATATAGCGAGGGGTCAGGGCCCAGAACTACCAAAATAAATTTAAAAAATAGAAGTCTAGGACCTTTTATTACCTTGAACACTACTTGCTGCAACAACCATAGCACCATCCAGAGTAGACTTTCCATCTTTGTCTCTTTTAAGAGATTCTGGAACAAGTTTGCTTCCATGCTTCTTAACATGTGGAGCCAATTCTTTTCCAACACAATTTGCTACAGAGCAGACTCCATCAACTAAAGTAACCATAAATAAAAAGATTAATTGCTCTTTTCTTGATTTTTCTACTACTATTTAGCAAATCTCCTAAACAAGCATGTAGAACTAGTCTTTTGCATAATGTTAACAATTCTACTTAAAGATGAGATGCTAGGCTGGGCAGTTTTAAATAATGGCCACCAGTTAGTTTAAAGATGTAGCTGTAGAAAAGAATCTTTCTATGATAACCTTGCCTCTTGGATTTACACCTTCTTTTTGGCATTTCTATTTAAAAGCATCCAGTTTTTCTATCTGACTGCTAGAATACAAAGGCAGGAGATGTAACTTCAGTGTTTGTTACTTAAGCATATTTATATTTTTCCTGTAAGTATCTCAGTGAAATAACAGTAAGGTATTTTAAGTCTATGAAAGCATACAACACAAAATCTGATTTACAGGATACTAAATACCGAAACAGATAATTTCATTAAATTTAATACTAATCATTAAAGATCACTTTGATCATTTTGAAACATCAAACTTAAGTACTATGATTCTTTTTTTTTTTTTTGTCTTTTTCCTTTTTATCGGTACCAGGGATCGAACTCACGACTGCCTGCTTTCAAGGCAGGCGCTTATGCCGCTGAGCTAAATCCCCAGCCCCAAGTACTATGATAATTAAGACAAAGTACACAACATATTGCTTGGGAAGACTGGCAACAAGTTACTAACTCTTCTTTGCTTAAACAATACTGTGTATTCCTCCCACTTGACCTTCAGCTACTGTAGTGAGCTGCAGTACTCTAAAGAATACGTTATAGCCCTTCAATGGATTCAAGGCTGGTACTTAAAATACATTCAGAACTGCTTTCAAAGACACACTTAGTCTCTAAACATATCAACAATCCTTTAATCAGTTTCTCAAAATTCAATATGTGAAAAGAATCACCTAGGGATCTTATAAACAGTGCAGATTCTGAATTAAGTGTACCTGCTGCCCAAAATCCTGCATTTCTAAGGCTCCCGGTTGGCTGCTGATGTTGAACCACACGTCCCAGTATGAGCAGCAAGATGAAACTGTTTTATTCTAGTTCTTCCTTTTTGAGATTAAACCATCTAAATGGACATTTAAATTAATTATGGAGTAAGAGATTTTAACTACTTTACCCAGAAACTGGCTGACTTTGGCTGCTCCTCCTGTAGCCTGCTTGGCTATATAAAGTCCCTTGGAGACAGCTGGACTGACTTCCACTGGCTTTTCTTCTGGCTGAATCCGTTCTCGGAGTTTAGAAGCACCCTTCTGGATTGCTTTGCCAGTAAACTCAGCACCTTTGACTAAACCCCAACTCACCCAGGAAGCACCTTTTTAAAGGAAAGTTAAAATTGCACAGTATTAGGGATGATTATACAATTAGATTTTTTAATAGAAAACATCAAGGAAAAAATTAAAACAATTAAATATCCTGATCCTGAACATGCCAGGAACCTTTAAGGCAACTTTGTACCTGTAGTTTTCTACCTGAATATATGACTTTTCTAATCAAATTTATCTTTCAATGTTTAGGTCATACATGACAAAATTTTGCATTATTCTATGTTGCCAACTACAACTTGTATGTATCTCTTCATGTTACCATAATTTACTACTTTAAGATACTAGTTTTAAGATTTGGTGCCATTAACCACTTACCAATTCAATTATTAAAATATACAATGATCAAAAATGGCATATATTTTCATTAGTTTTTATAATTAAAAGGAAACATAAAATGACAGTTCTATCAATTTTACTCAACACAAGAAGTGACTGGGTGAAATGATACCTGCCTGTGCTCAGGCCTGTCAGTAAACATGCTGCCCGAGTGTTGCTCAGGCTAAACTGCTAAGTGGTCAAAATAGTATTTTTCAGGAAGATCAAGATGTTCTTTCTGCCTTACTCGAGGCACCAGTTCCCTACGAAATTTTGAGGGAGAAAGATACAAACAATGCAAATTGGAAAGCAAAGAATATATATTTCTAATATGATAGAGAACTAGTTCACTTTAAGCTGGGGACATTAAATTTTCTTCAATTATAAACTCAAATCTCTGGAATTCAGCACAGAAATCCTGGAAAACCAAAACAATGTAGGATTAAGAGAAAATCAGAATGAGGACAAAGAGGTGTGGATGATTTAGCCAGTTCTAACTATGGGCCCTAACTGTTTACTTTGTTTATCCTTCTTACAGCACAAATGACAAAGCAGTTGCCAGAGAGAAGAAGGCTTAAGGTCTTCAGCCACTGGGCAGGTGAAAAAAGAAGTGCGAGAGAAGAGAAGCAACAGGAATCACAAGAACGCTATCTTCTAAAATGAAGAGAAAAGTGTTACCCTCCTTTGTAGAGAGCTTTCAATTTAAAATATTTCCATTTTGGCTAACCCTGAAAAAAGGGAGCTTTAAAAGCTGTTCATATAAAATACTTACGTAGGTTTTCTCAAGGTCTGTGGCATGGTTTTACATCATTATTATACCCCATGAGTAAGCATCCAGCAATCATGTAAAAATAATTTTTAAAAGATGTCAACAACAAAAAGACGTAATATTAAAATTTGTTTCTCTTTCCATTCCAATGAACATTCACTGACATCTTTAATTTCACCTTTCTTAACTTGTACCTCATTGTTTGGACATAGGTAATATCTGAAACCCATAACTTACAGGAGCAAGTTTTATTTGAGTTCATGAATTCAGTTCATAGTCAGCCAGCTCTCAGGCGGGAAAAATATGATGGAAGGGTCTGGTGGAGGAAAGCTGCTCCACACCATGGTGGCTGGGAAGTAAAGAATGAATGACATAGCCAAAGAGAGCCATAGACTGCTCCACATCAGATCCTCAGTGATCTTGCTCTTCCAACCAGACCCCACCTCCTCATGGTACATTTGGCTACACTCATCAGTGGATTACTCTGATGGGTATAGCACCCCATAACCCAATCATTTCCAAACAGATGAGGCTTTTGGGAGCCATTTTTGATCAAAACCATAACACCAATTCATGAGTCTACTCAACAACCAATTCTGGGGAGGACCAGGTTGCAACACGGGCAAGTAGGCTCCCATAATGATAAAAGATTCAAACATATGCATTCAAAAAAAAGAACAAAGCATGTTTTTAAAAAGTTACTGACTTTTGAATTGTAAAGATTGATTGATTGAGGCAGGTCTTGCTACACAGTTCAGATTGGTCTTGAACTCACTACATAGCCCAGGCTGGCCTCAAACTCATGGCAATCCTCCCTGTCTCAGCTGGGATTTCAGGAATGTCCCACTATGCCTAGCTCTAGATTGTAAAATAAAAGAGAGAGCTGAGAGAGACAGAGAGACAGAGAGACAGAGAGAGAGAGAGAGAGAGAGAATCAAATGACAAAGAAGCAAAGGAGATTGTTATGACTTGTATCTAGATGTACCCTCAATACCTCATGCACTCATAGGTAGGTCTTTTTGGCAATGGCTGGATCTAGGACATGATCCTGAGATTAAATGTGTGATGATGGGATTAAAGGTGACCCATCCTAGATGTGGATAGCACCACACAGAGGGCAGGTAACCTGGATGGAAAAAAAAGGCAGGGTTGGCCGCTGCTGCTTCTCTGCTTGGTTGCTTTCTACCTGCCCTGTTTTGCCGTGGACTATTTCTCCCCTGCAATGCCCTTCTGCCATGCCACCCTGCCTTGGAGCCAGCTGACTATGGACTGAAACCTCTACAAACTGTGAGCCAAAGTAAACCTTTCTTCCTTTACCTTTGAGTATTCAGTATTCAGAATATGTCTTAGCAATGAGAAAAAAAATTAAGACACAGACTATAATAATAATACAATGAAAGTCTATAAGAAACAAAAGGGATGGAGTTCATTGACAACTGAGAAAAATAAATGGAAAGGAGATAAATGAAAAATCACAGGATTAATAAAGAGAAATACTACATGTAAATGATGAATATAGTGTCACCATGGAAGAGCATAATACAGGTAAGAATTTTTAAATGATAGGCACTGCAATATAAGATAAGGAAGCCTAATACAGTGCATTTCATTTATAGCTGTTTAAGTCTTCTAAATTGAATGTGTACTGGTAGATATAGATAGGTTCTATTCAAGTTTATACTTTATGTACTCAATAATGCTGACATATTGCACACAGTAAATGTCTTTAACAAAGGAGAGGTTGGCAGGATACTTAGAATCCTCTAACTCCTAATACTATCATTCTAGGGGTTAGGATTTCAATAAACAAATTTTTGCGGGGGACTCAAACATAGTTGTATTGGTGGTGAGAATATGTCAGAGAAGAAGGGAAAGTAACTAACTATATATTCAGATCAATTTAAATGTTTGGGGATTCTTAAAGCTTTTCACTACCAATTTTCCCAACACTAAAACAAATATGCCAGGAAGCCTATACCTATTATAACAATATGTGATGTTGTAAGAAACTAGTTCCTTTTGTCATTATTTCTAAATTATTTAAAAGTAAAATACAAAATGTTATCTTTCTAAGTATTCCGTTATAAAAAGTACCTTTATTGAATTCCAAAAGTTTAAAGTTATAAGGGAAAAATTAACATTACTGTAATACCTGACAAAATGTTTTGAGCCACTTTCTCACTCCATTCAGGCAATTCTTTTGCTCTTTCTTCTGAAACTGGCTCACAGGGTACAATGTGACTCAGATTAATGTCTTCATTTGAAGTACCTTTAGTCTAAATAGTAAAAATGTTTCAAAATGTGAACATGATGCATGAGAGGGACTGTAAACATTATATAATGAAATATTAAGTAAATAAACACTAGATATAATTAATGAAAATATCTCTAGATAGCTACTGGCACATCTATAAAGTGCAATACCAGAACTGGCATGCAGTTAAAAATCATTCTGGTCTTATATAAATCTGTACCAGTATAACTTTTCAATATAGCATTTACCAAACCATATTTAAAGTGACTTTTCTTGACTAGAACTTCATCCATAGATCTTAGTAGTATGTACATGGTACTCAGGAAAATTAAAAGATTTCTGTTAAACAACTCAATCCCCAAATAAACTGATGAACAATGCACCCAAATAAACTGATTTTGACAGAGATCAAGTAAAAGCTAACATAAAACAAGAACAGATAACAAGGAAGTCATTCCACAGAAATGGAAATGAGGACATGGAAATACCTGTACCTTGCTAATTTAACAGCTGTTATGAAAGGACTAACATCCAAAATCTTAATGACAAATTAATGCATTCTAAAAATCTAGGAATAAACTAACTCAGACCTTATAATATTACAATTTAAAAATTAAATGCCCCACAGAAATATAAAGAACTTCACTTAGAGGATAAAAACAGGAGATTTTGTATATAGAGATATATATATATACATATAAATGTACATATGTATTACACAAAAATTTCTATGTGGCAAAAAAAAAAAATAAAAAAGCCAACCATAAGTAAAATCTAATGATAAACAGGGGAAGCGGGTCCCCACCCTGTGCAGCCTCACAGCAAAGGTGAAAGAATTTTCTCAGAGGAGAAGGCTGCAGAGCACCATGTTCCAGAATGGCAACAGAGGCTACATGAGGTTCCAAAATGGCGACAGAGGCCACATGAGTTTCCAGAATGGTGGCAACACAGAGAAGCGTTTTCTCACAATCAGGCAAACAGAGCCCTGCGATTCAGGCAACTGACCCCCTCAGCCAAGAGAGAAAAAAAGCCTGGCTACTGCTTCAGCTAGCAGCAAACCTTGGCGGCATCCACAAGGTGCTGATTTTAGTGCAAGGAAAATGCACAAATTCTGAAGGTAAGACGGTTTCCACCTCGATTGCAAAGGGCCTGGGAGGCCAAGCAGTGTGCCCCTGAGAGGGCAATTTGTGAAGATGTAAGGATGAAGCCGAAGGTGCAGTGGAGACCCCAGAATTTTGGAAAAGCCAGGAATGTGGATGATCTGAGGGAAGCTGCAAAAAGTGAGCAGAGAAGATTTAAGACAAAAGCTGCGGGAGTTGCATTCTAAAAATCTAGGAATAAACTAACTAACTCGCTGGAAGTACCATGGGGGTGGAATCACCCAAGCCTTTTGAGGCTTGTAACCAGATTGCTTCAGATGCTGAGTGTGGAACTCTAGGACTTAATGTTCATCCTGCTGGATGCTGGACTTGCTTTGTTTCCAATGCTTTATATTCCCCTGTTTGTAACTTTTGGAATGGTAATGTTTATCTTGTGGCTTTGCATTTCAGAAATGTTTAACCTTGTTTCATTTGTATAGGGGTTACAGTTAAGAGTTTGCCATTGACCTTGAAGGAGACTTGGGACTTGGACTTTTCAGCAATGCTGAAACCGTTAAGACTTTGGCAAGTCTTGGAGGTGGGCTAAATGTATTTTGTGTAAAGGACGTACATGAGTCCTGGGGGCCGGGGGTGGAATGTCATGGTTTATCTCTATGTCCCCCAGGCCTCGTGAATGTGAATTGTGCATTTGTTATTCGTTCATTGTCTAGTGCTTGGATTGATGGTGTCAGTGCTCCACCCACCTAGGGGTGGAGCCAGGACCTGATGTAATGGCAGGAAGAAAGTGTGTCTTGCTTTTTGCTGGTTCTGGCTTGCTGTTTGCAGCCGCCATGAGCTGCGGCCCAGCCATGCCCATCTGCCTTGGAGCCAACTGAGTGTGGACTGAAACCTCTAAAAACTGTAAGAAATAAACCGTTCCTTTCCCAACTTGAGCATCAGGTATTTTGTCTCAGCGACAAGCATAAAGTAACTAAGACAACAGCTATTATGAAAGGACTAACATCCAAAATCTTAATGACAAATTAATGCATTCTAAAAATCTAGGAATAAACTAACTCAGACCTTATAATATTACACTTTAAAAATTAAATGCCCCACAGAAATATAAAGAACTTCACTTAGAGGATAAAAACAGGAGATTTTGTATATAGAGATATGTATATACATATAAATTTACATACACATACATTACACAAAAATTTCTATGTGGCAAAAAAGTAAAAAAGCCAACCATAAGTAAAATCTAATGATAAACAGGGTAAAGGATTTGCAACTTCTTTTATTTTTTTTTGCAGCTTCTATCTTTCACAATGTGGCAATAACCCTAATACATAAAAAAGTCCTGAAAACCGAGAACAAAAAGATTAATAACCTCCAAAATAAAAATGGAGAGAGAACACAAATAGGTAATATACAGAAAACAAAATTCAAGGAATTTTTAAGCACAGATGTTTGACATCATTTAAAATGAAATCAATGAAGTAAAGTATTTTCATATACTACTTCTCATCTAGCAGACTGCTAAATACAGAAAGATTAACCTCCCACTCAGACATTGTAATCTCCCTTATCTTTGAGCGAAAAATTGTAAAACAGTTAGTAGATGCCTGACCCATAGCTGGTAGTGAACTCTACATACTCATTTTTTTACTAAAGTTCAATTTATAAATTAGGCACAGTATGAGGTAAACAATAGTAACAGTACAACAACCGTTATAACCATATATTTTGCCTTAGCAAAACTAGCATGCATTTCCTTTCCTTCACAATTTCACAGTTTTTATTGCAGATGTTAGCAACTTTGGCATTTGATATTTTTCTTTCCTTATTAAATTGAGAACTTTTACCTTTAAGGCTTCTCTTTGGAAAACTCAAATTGACAGTATAACAGCATGCTTGGGCTTTGATGCCATTATTGAGGCTTACTGGATGGAACACAAATGCTACAACTCTTGGGCAATCCATCTGATAACCATGATGGCTATTACGTAACTAATGGGCAAGTTACATATACAGTTAAGTATCCTAGACAAAGGGATCATTTGTGACTTGGGGGGGCACATTAGAGGGGTGACAGAGGAGCTTTCATCACTATTCAGAAAGCTCAAATTAAAATGTATTAATTGTTTACTTCAGAACAAATAATTATAGAAGGAATTTTCCATTTAATATTTTTTGGGCTGTGGTTGACCACAGATAACAAAAACCAGTGGGAGGGAAGAGGACTACGGTACTCTTATACACTGCTGGTAGGAGTAACTAGTATGATCCAAGCTTCAGTATGGTGGTGCATATTTTATAATCTACGTGCATATCTTATAATATAAGAAAGGAAGACTGCTAGGATAAGACAGGAAATTCAAACCCAGTATGGGCAACTTAGATACTTGGCAAGACCTTGCCTCCAAGTAAAAAGTATAACAGGGCTAAGGATGTAGCTTAGACCCTTAGAGAAGTGTAAATTAAAACTACACAGAGTTTTCATTTGAGTCCAAAAAGAATGGCTCTTGTCTAAATAAATAAATAAATAAATAAATAAATAAATGAAATGCTGGCCTGTTTTTGAGGGGAAAAGAACCCTTTATTGTTGTTGGTGGGAATGTAAACTAAAATCAGCACTATGGAAATAAGTATGATGATTCCACAAAAACACTAAAAATAGAAATTCCATTCTACCAAGCTATTCCTATTTTAGTTATCTTCTCCAAGGAGTTAAATCACAATGATACAAGCATACCAGTTTACAGCAGCACAAGTCCTAAGAGCTAAATTGTGGAAGTGGCCTGTATATCCATCAATCGATAAATGGATAAAGTGTGGTATATATGATAATACTACACTGCTATAAAAAATGAGAAATCCACATCATTTGTGGGAAAATGGATTCACCTGGAGACCATGATGTTTAGTAAGACATATCAGACACAAAAGTTTAAATATAGCATGATTTCTCTTACATGAGATAGCCAGAGTATAAATAAATTAAAAGGAAAATAAAAGATAGATAAAAGAAACAGAGAGACAGATCTTTTTCAAATAAGAAAGAGACCAAGAGATGGGGGAAGCGGGGACCACAGGGAAAGAAGAGGATAAAAAAGAATGTACCATTACCACCTAACCATGGTGAATGTAATCATCAGGTACTGCCAACATGAACTATTAAAAATAAAAATTTAAAATGGGCTGGGAATGTAGCTCAGTATGAAGATCTCAGGATCAATCTCTAAAACAGGATATTAAAATAATCCTTAGGGCAATTTAATAAAACCTATCAAAATTACAAATGCATTTTTCTTTTGATTCAGTAAGCTCATTCCTAAGAATTTATCTGATTATCTACACACATAAGTCAACAGATCTACAAAGTTATTCACTGCAGCAATAATTATTTGTAATAGCAACATATTAAAATCAAAGAACCCTTCAGTAAGAGCTTGTTAAAGAAACTACAACATTCATAGACAAAGTAGCTGTTAGGGAAAAAAATATTAGGGAAGTTCTCTAATTCCTGATATACAAAAATGTTCAAAATTTACTATAAATAAAAAGATACTGATCACTGTATATGTTACCTTTCACATAAAAAGCAAAAAAAAAAAATAGTAACAATTTGCAATTGCTTTTGTCTGTCCCAAGAGACACAGGAAAGACAAAAGTGATAACCTACAATAGAGGTGGAAAGTTATGGCTAGGGACAAAGGTGAGAACTAGTAGAGTTTACTCCACTGCACTATAATTTAGCTTTGTCTTTTACAGTACATTTCATATTTACAACCTAAAAAATGAAAGAGAAAACTACTGAGTAGATTTCAAGAAACCAAATCTCAGTTATGCTGCTCAACTATGAAAATCGAAGGAAATAAAAAATGCCAGCGAAGTTTACTTAGCCCCAACATCTGGGTGAAAAAGGCAGGCAGGGAACACCATGAAACAAAGTATGCTCATGAGGATAAATATGAAAACTTTTCTATCCCAAACACAAAATATATTATTAAAATAGTTTGAATAACACATATTCAGGAAGGGAAATATTAAAATTGATTCTATTTTTGCTAGCGATCATTTTCTAACTTTGTCTTTAGAGAATAGCGATACAATTATTGAATACACAAAGCTGGTGAAAGACACCATTAGAAGAGAATATACACGCTCCTTGTTGCTCCTTTATTTACCTTTTTCTTATGTTTTCCTTTATGATGCCCATCCTTTTTGCCTTGGCCTAATGAAGGGTCCAACTGACTCGCATCACTACCAGACGCTCCTTTCACTTGGTCAGAGGGGAATCTTGTTCTTCCAGGAATTTGAAATTCATTTTCTCCTTCTGCCCTATTCCAGTTGGCCTATAGAGTAAAGAACTAAGCTTAGTTCAAATAGACTTCTTTAAAAAATATTTTATTTAAAAGTAAAAAGAGAAAAAAAATCAGAACAAAACAAAACAGTGTAAGGGTACAAGTAATTCAGAACTACAGAAAAGCAAAAAACAAAAAAGAGTAAGCTATCACCAGTTAATAGATTACTCGCTATCATCTTAGAAATGGTGTTTCAGGTCACAGGATCAAAGCACACAAAGCGAACATTCGAACAGTGACACTGCAAACAGTTGTGTTCAGTAATCCAATCCAAAATATTAATATGGTCTTCTATATAACACACTTAAACACCCTTGCTGTTGTATCCTTCAGGGCACTTTTCTTTCCCTCTCTTTATTACAACAAAATTTACACATTTTGGGCTTTATTGCTCCCTTAGATCTTATTACTTTTTTTTTGAGAGAATAAAATCAAGCATGATAAAACAAAGCTGTCAGTCAAAACCAAGGATAGACATATGTAAAAGGTTATCAACAATGGTTACCATAATGCCTCTTGCATCCTTAAGAATTGTCTATCTTTTTAGGTATTATAAAGTTAAACAAAACAGTACTTTGTAAATCGTACATCATCTCATAAGAGGATAATAGTCAAACCAGAATGGGCATCATAGTGAATCTTACTGCCTTCAAAGTAGTTGCCTATACTCTGATACTTGATACTTTCATACAGAGCAGAATAGAGTCTAATCAGTCAAAACAAGATAACGGGGGTATTACAGGACTTCAAGTTGATAGGAAATCAAAAAAGCTACTATAATATATCCTGCTAGATTTTTTATTTTTTTCCCTTAGTTTAAAAAAAGAATTTAAAAAATTACATAATCAAATAGACTTTTTAAAAATAAGTTTCTTCTATTACACTACACCATAATCTAAAGTATTGTTCATGTGTCATTTTTTGATAGCCTATGAGTAACTAATTTTGCCTTTCTTTTCCTAAAATTTTTTATCCCAAACCTCTGAGTTCTTTGGTTTATATTAAAGCATATGGAATGAAGTACATTTCAAAAGAGAAAATATAAAAGGTAACTTGTAGCAGTTTTTGGTGGTGTAAATTATCTTGAAATCAGATGTGGCTACATTTGAACTTAATAATATATTAAATAACACACAACTAAGATTTATTTAAAGTCAATTAATAAAATTCATGTCTATGCTGTACTTAGAAGGCTGACTTCACTGCTATATCCCACATTTAAAACTGAAAACATTTTACTAGTGGCTATTTACTAGTGTCTACTGCTGAAAGAATGAAAGAAAAAAAATTACTTTCTGTTTACAGTGAATATTTGGAACAACAGAGGAAACTAAAAATAACATACAACCAAACAATTAAAACTGAACAAAGGAAAAATATATAGAGTAAATACGTATAAAGTAAACCAAAGTCTGCTTAACTTCTTTCCCAAAGCCGAACAACATATGTACAAGGAATTCTGGAGTTGAAGGAAGAAATAACTCCATAGCAGGCCCATGAATTCTTAGACATAACTGCAAGGCCAAGATGTATCCAGATCCACTCACACACATTCCTGCTTTATAAACATCCCCAAGAATACACCAAGGCTACCCACTTAGGAATGCCCATTATGTGTACTGCTAACATGGTTTAAATGACTGTTAATTAATTATTTTTGGCTTGTTGATCACTGGTTATTCTCAGAAAATAGGAGTTGCTATGTATGTGTGTGTGCACATGCACACACATGCTGTGTTTATTTTCTTGTTCTCAGTATTCCCATTGGATGTGTATTTTTCCTTGTATTTTCTTGTTCTCATTTTCCCTATCCATTATTTTACACAGTCCCTGAGTAATGCAGTACATACATCTGCTGAATGAAGAAAAGAATAAAAGATTATACTATCATGCTGTCAACCTCATTCAACCCTAGACAAACTTGTTTACAAGCCATTAAGCATGTGAATAAGGAAGCAATCTAAATAAGGAAGACCACAGAATGATTACATTTTATATTACATTTTCATTTCACCATCACTACCATGAGAATAAACATAATTATCTCATCCAGAATCTGTTCTTAAAATGCCAATCATAGCCCTAAAATGCCTAACATAACTTACTTGTTAAAGTTAAAATTATCTTCATTTCATGATTTAGTTTCACTAGCCCCATGCCAACTGAGCAGTAAAACAGTGATGAGAACAACAGCCAATATTCACAGAGAATTATAACTTGCTAAAATTAATACAAGTTCTTTTTTAATACAATTAAGTTACTGGTATATTTTAAGATATATATATTCTGGTCACATTCATCACAGGGAATCTATACCTGTACATGACATATTCTGATTTCTCTATTTCTCTCAATCTCTTCTCTTCCCTTCAACCCATCCTGTCCTCCTCATTCATCTTCATTACAGCCCAATGAGATTTCTATCAGTATTCCCCTTTTACAATAAGGAAACGAAAGAACAAGGAAGTTCATTAACAGTTAAGTGAAACAGCTATTAAGTGGATGTTTGCATTCAAGCTCTGGCAATTTGGACTGTAGAGTCCACAATCTTATCTACTACTTAAAGCAAATTCCCAGTGTGGATTATAAGCACAGAGGAAAATTATACACTCCCCTAGTTTGGGTTGCATTAGAGGTTATCACAATTTATTTAAAAGCAGAAGTAGTTATGTCAAAGTAATTTTGCATCCTACAATGATGACACTAGTTACCTGGAGTCGAAGGTCAGACATTTGTCTTAATAGATCCTCAAAGAGTTCTCTATCATCTTCTGGTAGCTCAGAGGATAAAACCACACCCACAAAGCAACCAGCTGCTTGTAACATTGTATCAGGAAACATGTAGGCTCCCACTGAACATTTGAGAACTGGAGATCTATCAGGAACTAGAGGATACAACCAGTCACAAACCTGAATTAGAGGAAAAAGAAAATCATTTAAGGAACAGGTCTTCACTAAGTTTCAGTAAAACTGATATACTGGAAAATAAACACCTTAAAGTGTGAAATATATTTTTAAGATTTTATCAAACCATCAACATCAATAAACCTCTATTAAAATGAGTCAGTTTGAACTTCCTGCAATAACAGCTTAAAATGCTATTGCCTAATAAGCATTCTCAAAGCATTTTTCCTTCACAGATTCTTTTCATTTCAAAAACTACTCTATCTTTTGTAACAGGCAAATTCAGACAGGTTACAAGAAAGCAGTCATCTAAATTATAATAAGAAAGTCATCTATATTATGTGAAATGATGTCAGATAATTCATGAACTTCCAAATTTTCAGTGGTTATATATTTTAATATATATTAGAAAATACAACTTTTCTTTAATTTCAGTCATTTAGATGGAATTTATAATGAAACAATATAGTGAAAGTATTAAAGCAATACTTTCAGTAATAGTAGTCTAGGGATATAGATTTGACCAAAAAATTATAGATGTTTTTCTAAAATGACTGAAGTATTAGAAAAGTTTGTATTTACTATTCCATGATTTCTTTAAAATTTTTGTGTATCTTGATTGCCTTGACTGAACTGGAATCTCAAATCTTCTGCAAAAGAACCCCAAAACTCTTAGGGGGTGGGATATAGCTCAATGGTGAGCACTTGCCTAACAAATACAGGCCTTTGATTTGATAAACACCTGGGGGGGGCAGAGAGAAATTTATAGATCTTTTGTAGATAGGTTATTACAGATTGTGAGCTTGTTTGACCATAAGCTGGTTTCTCCCAATTTCGCTTTAAGAAAGAAGGAAATTTCATGCCCAAATTCTATACAAAGTGACTACACATTTAACAGGTCTAAAGAGTACATTAAAACTAAAAGAAAACAGTTTTTGAAATCTTAAAATTCCAACTCTGCATTGAAAAAACAAGTAATATTATTCTCATTTCCCAAGCAGACCAATAGTGATGTCTGCAGCATAATAAATCATAACTAACTTCTAGGGGTAGATAGATTATATGGTTTTTAGGACACAAATATTCAGTAAACATACACGGTAACTCCTTTACAGGACATACTGCTACATGCAAATGAATCTGTTAAAGAACCAAATTAAATTTTGCATGCCATTTTACTTTTCATTCAGAACCTAAAGTGGAGGTATAAGAAAGACTAAACAAATTCAAAGCAGGATAAATTTTTGTATAACAAATCGTATAACCAAGTTCATATAATCAAGTGTAGATTTTCTGCCATTTATTTCCTGTACCTTCAAATTGCTGAGGACTCAAAGATTTTAAATTCCATTGTTTCAATACAGGACTATTACCAGATCATCCTATGTTAAGCTTTTATCTGTTCCCTTTCCTGACCCCAATCAACAATCCTACACTTTTTAACTTTCAGGCTGTATCTCTAAAATAACTTAGCAGGATTCACAATATTCTTCCTACTCAAATAATTAATTTTTTCTTTTAATAAACCCCCAAAATCTCTTTCACATATTTTTAGTAAGGTGTCAGCTTACTCTAAACAGTTTTCAAAGTGATGCCATCTGAAAGCTATATAAAAACTGAGATTAAAGTACACTATAAAAGAGAATGACTACAGATAACTAGAATTATAACTAGACATTATCTGAACTTTGGGCAAAAGTACCTATTTGCTTAGCTATATCTATTCAATGCAAACTTCTTTGTTATACACTCAGTAGTATATACAAATTCTAGTAGTACATACAAGTCATTTCAAGACCCATCTCCTTGTAACTACAATTAACCTTTGAATAGAAAATCGTTACTGAACTACCAACTTTAGAATATCTCATTAAATCCGCACCAATGAACTGACATCAACCATTACTTAGGATCAGTCTCTACCAATGGTTGCAAATATTTGGCACATGTTCCTTAGCAGGCTGATTTTGAGCTGACCTGTTTTTTTTTTTTTTTTCTTTTTTGCTGATGGCAGTCTGATCTGTGTAGGAGTTTAGCAACATTCTTGGTTTCCACCAACTATGCCAATACCAAGCATAATTTACTTGTAACAAAGGAGAAATTTTCTTTAGACATTTCCAAACATCCCCAGGGAAGAGAAAATTGCTACAGATTGCTAACCAGTGCACTACACACTTCTGTTTCTAGCTCAGTTCAGAGCCTCAGCTGAGATCTGACAATACTTATGGATACTATTTGCTATGGATAAATTCACATGAATTACATAAACCCTCTGAAATTAAAATTAGTAGGTTTCTCCTTCAGATGAAGAAATGAAAATTCAAGAATTCTCTGATTTCAATGAAAATTCAAGGTTCTCTGATTTCCCTAAGGTCCCATTATCAGTTTTAATATCAAAACAAGATTGTATAGTTTAAAAAAAAAGCTAAATACAAACAAATGCTCAGGGCTCATAAATTTCATGGATCCTTTTATCTTTTTGTAGTTATTGTCCTGCACACATGACAAACATTAACAAATAAAAACAATACATTCTATGTATATTTAAAATTACATTTACATTTTCCTTTGTCTTACCTGAAGAAACCCAGGAGGGCGGTTTAGAACTGTATCAAGAGAATTATCCAAGAACCTCACAATTCGAAGGTAGCCAGGATACGAAGGTGCACTAACCTCCCCAGCAGGATTGACAAAAAAAATCTGCACTCCATTTGGTATCAAAATCAGTTCATCTGCATCCATCCCTAAGGTCTCAAGAGGAGGTGGCTGAGAATGACTCCTATAGAAGTCTTCTCCAACTGATGAAATTTCGCCAGAATCTGTTCCATAAGACACAGTGTAGTGACCCTCCACAGCCTGCGGAGTATAAGCAGGAGGAGCTTCTGATGGACAGCTTGAAGATGGTAAGGCTAGAGAAGATGGTGCAGCAGTGAGTCCTGAACTTGTAGTTGTAGTGTTACCATTTACTTCAGTATGCTGAGGAGGTGGGGTAGCGGATTGAGGCCCTGGCGACTTTTCATGCATGTCTTTAGGTGGAAATTCCGGATATAACTTGGGTACTTCCTGGAGATCATTTCGTAGAGAAGTGTCAAGACCTTTCTCTAGAATTTCTAACCTGGCCCGTACATTCTGTAGTGTTTCTTTCATTTTCTGTTGCATCTGTCTAGCAGATTCCCAGCCAGGGCCTGTGTGTTGAGGTTCTGTTGATATAATACTGATTCCTCTGAGCAGATGTCCTATTCCTTGCTTATAGTATTTCTTTGCTTCTTCCTTCTGCCCTAATTCATCTGTATTCAAACCTTTATTAACAAATAAAAAGGCATTCTTATAGGCTTCCTTGATAATCTTAATGTCAGCAGGTTCTTCATTCTGTGGCTCTTGCTCCATTTCTACAAAATAGGAAATGTTATCTGTAATTGCTTGCTTATTTATTTGGTTACATTATTTACTATTCATCTTTCCTACCTGATTATATTTCAAAAGGACAGGAACCCTGTCTTTGTCTTGTCTACTATTGCCTTCCTTAAGCTTAGTTGTAGTCTGACACAGAGGAAGTACTCAAAATGCCGTTGAATGAGTAAATACTCTTGGCCCTAAAAAGTTGCTAATTTACAAACAGAAGAGTAAGTCCAAATATATTAAATGAGTTTTGTGCTAGTTCCTTGCAGTAAATGTTTCCCTAACATAATATCAATCTTTAGGACTAGAACAAAAGGTTTCATTCTAAAATTCATTACAGTATAAAACCAGATGATATATAGCTAATGAAAAATGAGTTGCCTCACATTTTGTAGAGAAATGAGAAAAAAAAAAAACTGGAGGGAACATCAGTATTATCTGACCATCACTAACAGCAGCAGCTTTATTTCTCTCCCAAAATCCTACTAAAAAATGACTTTTAAAAGGTTAAAAAGGTATAATGATTTTTCTTAATGAGAAAAAGACATACTTTTCAAAAAAAAAACACTATTCCTTCCTGTAAATGAAATTAAAATCTATAATGATTCAAATCACATATGTATCAGACTAAATCTAGACTGACCAGTGTTAAACAACTGGAATTCAAACTTTGCTGGTGGAAGTTGAAAAATGACACAGCCATTTGGAAAAGTTGTCATTTGGAAATGACAACTTTTGCTACAGTAAGTATTAACCAGTCTTATAGCCCATTCGCAAGCACATAACCAGGAGAAATAAACACATATATGTGTAAAAAGAGACCACTATAAGTCTAATCAGAAACCTAAACCTGTTTCCAGATAACAATGGTATATTTAAGTTATATTATTTAAATATTCCTATTAGGTCAGGATTTAGTTCAGTGGCATAAATACCTGCCTGGCAAGTGTGAGGTCATGAGTTTGAACTCGGGTACAAGAAAAAAAAATCCTATTAAAGAAGTAAAAGGCATTTCAAACGTAACTGTATGTAGGTATATATATATATATATATATATGCTTTAGGTACATATTTTAAAAGATACAAGCAAACATAAAACTTCGAATCAAAAACTTGGCATAAGTTCAAGTCTACAAAAAAGTAAAAAAAGTGAAAGTAGTAAATAATTACACTTAATAGGCAAAAACACAAATAAGTTCTAAAAATACAGCATTTAGATCAAGCCTGGGTGACCCACACTTGTTATTTTAGCATCTGGGAGGTGGAAGCAGAAGGACTACAAGTTTCAATCTAGCCTGGCGGCCTGGGTTAGCAAGACCCTGCCACAGAATACAAGGCAGCTGGGAAATCTGTGTACAAGACCTTGAGTACAATCCCCAGTACCCGTAAAAACTAATAATAATGCAGCATTTATCTTCCTAAGGCTAGCAGAAGTTACTATAATGCCTGCCCCTGCCCACTTGGCTGTTTATGAAGACAGGGCTCTCCACTGTAAATTTACTTATTTTAAATTATGTATTAGTTGTATACATTTATGGTGTACAAAATGTACTATATTTTAATTTTAATATTACGTAGAATGATTATATTGGGCTAACGTATTATCTCAAAAACCTGATTTGTTTTTTGAAATTTGAATACTTGACTGTATCTGAGTTACTCAAATGTACAATACTCAATTAGCCATATTTCCCACACAGTGCAACAAATCTCAAGAAATAATCTCTTATTTCTAATACTGATATAGAGAAATAGGAGGTGCTGAGGGTTGCCCCCCCCCCATGCCACCATATGGGTGTGCAACTTCTTCTGCAGTGTCCTACCCTTGGTCGCCTGGGGAAACTACATCTGAGAAAGCGCCACAGGTGAGAAGTACCATATAATATAAAGTTCCAACAGGTCACAGGAGACCACCATGTTAAATCAGAACAGATTAGAGGATAGCTCCATTTAGAAACGGCCACATTCTATTGCCTTTCTCTTCTATAAACTCAAAAGAAAAACTTAAATTTCTTAAATATGACTATTTCGAGGTAACAACACTGACACGAAGTTATAACAAGATAAATCAAACCTCGAAGGTCCGCTAGAGACTACAGAACAACCCCTCAGTTACCGAGGAAAACCCGGCCGCCCTATATTAACAGGATAAAGCTGGGTCACCAAACCGGGCGCGGACCACAAACAACTTTTCCTAACGACGGAATTCGGCCAGATGGATTCCTCTGCGGTGCGCCATCCCTAATAAACACGAATACACGTAACCCCAAGACTAAAATCCCACGCTATCTCGCCTCCAAAGGCTGTCGGTTGCTAACCTCCCCCCTTTAGGCAGCCGAAAGCGCTGGGGGAAGGGTGATCACCAGGGCGATTTTCGGGGCAGAAGTAAACAGCGGTGGCGGGGCCGCGATCACGGGCGACAGAGATGCTCCGAGGCGCCGCGCTCCATCTCCGCACACAGCCGGGCGCGAAGGGAGGGCACGCTCCTCTACAGCGAGGGACCGGCCGACTACGAACTTGTCAAACTACTCTCCTGGAAATGGCTCCTCTCGAGGAAAGCTCATCTCTCATCTTTAGGACAGGAGCGCGAGGCCTGAGAGGCGGCCCTTCTCCGCGCCCTCCCACGCTCGGCTCCCCTCGGGTCCTCCACTCCAGCCTCCCGCGCCGGGGACCTCCCGCCGCCGCCCACCTGCGCCTTCCAGACTCTGCCGCCGCGGCGCTGCCCGAAGCCCCCCGCCCGCCGCCGCCACGTCACGGCCCGCCGCCGCGTACGCGCGCACTCACGCTCACGCTCACGTGACGCCCACCCGCGCCCTCGCCACGACGCTCTCGAAAGCGAGTCTGGACTAGGTTCGGCCCACTCTGACCTTCTTCTCAGTGGTGCACGGGCGTCCGTTAGTACGCTTCCAACCCAGACGCCTCAGTGAAACTTCAGGCGAGGGAAAAAGGCGACGGTGGGAAGCCAGAACCTCCGAAACCGGTAACTCGGCGAAGTCCCCGCCACGGGGTCTCACGCTCACGCCCTCTGCCGTTCCGCGCCTGCGCAGTGCCTCGCACCGCCCGCGAAGGAGGCGTCGCGGGAGACCCTGGGGAAGAGTGGCCTGCAGTGGGAGCCTGTGGCCGCTAGGGGGAGAACAGAGGCTGTTCAACTCTGCAGCGAAGCCCCGTGCACCTGGGAAAACAAAGTTCTGGAATGCAGCCTTTGTGACAATGCTGTAGTATCCAGGGAACAGCTGACCTCCCAAAAGTCTCAGCAGGGTGTGTGTGCGCGCGCGCAAGCTACAAAGTGTGTGCCAGCCTGTTAAAATTCGGTAAATTTCTGGCTCAGAAACTCCTGCATCAGTGCTTAAAGGGAAAAGTCAGTGAACATAACTGAAGCTGTTTTGTTAAATCTGCAGTCATTCTGTTCTCTGCCGCTGAACTCAGCTAAATTATATGATTGGTCATCAAATGGAAGGTGCTAAAACAACCTTGTTACATACACTATGTTCATCACTGGGGTCATCACAAAATATCCATTGGACCCTGGCCTGCAACAAGAAGCTTGTCTCATTCTTGTAACTGCTGTTTGCCAATTTATAAAATGACAAACTTTCTGTAAACCTCACCTTAGACCGTGCAGATTACTCCTCTGGGGTTTGATAGCACTAATAAAATTTACTCAACTCCTGGTTGCTGTTGATTCAATTTTTCATGCAACAATTTTTCATCAAAAGTTTTTAAAAATTAATGAAATTGTATGATGACACATTTTTACTTGACTTTCCAAAAAATCTACTTGTGTAGTGCCCTGAATCTTGAAGGATGGCAGTAACTTGAACCAGATGAATTGCTTCTCTGCTTAATCAATTGATGATGAAAACTATTGAATAACTACAAAGTGGGAGGGGGATAAAATTAAAAATCAGAGATCATCTCAAAAGGTAGTCATAAAAAGCAAAACTTATTGAGGAAGTACGTACGGGGGTTTCAAATGATTTTCCTTTTAGAACCAAGAGAATTTAAAAATTACCTATGTACTGCCCATGGTTTAGATTTACCACCAAAATATTTCATCCGACTTAAATCATTTCAAAGGATAACATTTTAATATAGAAGTTACATAACTTGTAAATATTCCTCGTGTCTAAATACCAGACAATTTGATATTTACCATCATCAATTTTTAAACCAGAAGTACATGCCTCCCTTTATTAGGAGATAATTTTGCATCTTTTCTTTTCTTCTATAACTCTTATTCCACCATGTGAAATTTTACTTCACTGTAATATTTTTTTGTCCTTGGAAATCTTTTATTGATTACCTACTGTACTTATCTGCATAAGAGCCAAACACATAAATCATACAATTTTAAGAATTTCCAATAGCTTTAAAGAATAAGATATTCAATGATGTAAATATCTACATGTAAGAGCATTATATATAGAAAATCCTAAAGAATTTATATAAAGGTACTAGAACAAATGAGTTAACCAAGGTTGGAGAATAAGAGATATACACTTGCCAATATTAATATATACTGTCCATATCAATATACACTAACATGTTGAAAATGAAATTAATTCATGTGAAATGGTAGCACTTATAGAAAACCAAAAGCCAATTAGAACAAGGTTCCAGTTTAACTAGTTGTTTACAGATTGACCTGGGACATAATACTGGGTTACAACAACCCACCCCGTATTTTCTACTGTAAATTTGTGCTTTAGCATAATAGTAGCTGGCTGTGTAACCACTCTGGGAGTAGAGCCATTTTTACTGTATTGGTTCTTTCTACCCAAGAGCAAGGGATACTTTTCCATTTTCTGATATCTTCTTTGATCTCCTTTTTCAGAGTACTGCAATTTTCAATGTAGAGGTCTTTTATTTCCTTTGTTATATTGATTCCTAAGTATTTCATTTTTTCGATGCTAGTATGAAATGAGTTAATTTCTCTAATTTCTTCCTCGGTACATTTGTTGTTAGTGTACAGGAGTGCTATTGATTTTTGAGTGTTGATTTTGCATCCTGCTATGCTGCTGAATTCAGTTATTAAATCTGTATATCTTCTGATGGAGTTTTTTGGGTCTTCTATGTAGAATATCTGTCATATAGAAATAATGATAATTTAACTTCTTATCTTTATTCCTTTTATTTCTTTCTCTTGCCTAATATTTATGGCTAGTGTTTCCAAAATTATTAAATAGGAGTGATGATAGTGAACATCCTTGAATTGTTCCTGAGTTTAGAATGAAACCTTTCAGTTTTTGGCCATTTAGTAGGTTGTTGGTTGTTAGTCTGATATAGAAGGCCCCTATCAGATTGAGGTTAAGACCTTCTACTCCAGTTTTCTGTAGGATTTCTATCATGAATGGGTGTTTAGACTTTGTCAAATGCTTTGTCTGTATCATATGATCATATGATTTTTGTCTTTGGCTCTGTTGATACGGTGTATTACATTTATTGAGTCATGTATGTTGAACCATCCCTGCATCTTTAGGATGAATCCTGCTTGATCATGATGAATACTCTTGATGATTTGCTGCATTCTGTTTGTCAGTGTCTTACTGAGTTTTTTTTGCATCTATATTCATTAGGGAAATTGGCCTGCAGTTCTCTTTTCTGATTGGGTCCTTCTCTGGTTTTGGTATCAGGGTAATACTTGTTTCCAGGAATGACTTTGTCAAATGTAATGCAATCCCAGTCAAAATACCATTAATATACCTTGCAGAACTAGAGAAAATATTCATAAAATTCATTTAGAACCAGAAGAGACCTAGACCAGCAAGAACAATCCTGGGCAGCAAAGGTAAGGCAGGAAACAAAGTGGTTAAAAGATGTTGTGAAATAGGTATTGTGAGATGGGAAGAAATTTTTCCAAAGAAAGGAGAAGTAGGGAGAAAGAGGAGGGGGAAAAGGGGTCAAGAAAGGAAAACAAACAAAGAGTCCATACTCTTAAGTGAAATAAATTGGACACATATGTTTAAGTATCATTGTTTCCCTGGTTGGAGAAATGTCAAGTGCAAATAATGACCAAAATGTATAGTAGACACTGTAAAATAGAAAAATATTCAAATGGGAAGAGGATCAGAGGATAGGGGAGGGTGAAAGGAAGGGAAAAGAAAAAGAATAGAAGGAAGAAAATGGAAACAAAGCTTTTATAAATGAGGGGAAGAAGAGTTGGAGAGAGGATAAGGAAAAAAAGAATCAAGATATGTACAGGTACAATATCCCTCTGATGAATGTAATCATTATGTATATGAAAATGTACTAATAAAATTAATCAAAATTTTAAAATTAGTTTACTGAATGAAAAAAGCTAGTAGCTGGCTGTGTGTCTCTCAGAAGCTGCACCTGGAGGTTACAGGAAACAGCCTTTCTGTTTACCTACTTGGTATGATGAATGAATGCAAGATGTGTGCATGTATATAAAAATGTCAAACTGGGCTTTTTCATCCACATAATGCTCCATCTGAGAAGTTTTTTGTATGTTTACCTCAGCATCATAGGGGGTAACATACACCCACAGCACTCTTCTGCTATATACACATGTATTTTACTCAAATGGAATTTGGATGTGACAGTAGCTGTGCCTGGGGAAAGTAAAAACACATCTACACACTCACCTACTTGGCAGATGAATGGCAAGGTGTGTCCAGGAGCAAACCAGCAACAGGTGAGTTTTACCCATGAAATTGCTAAATTTCTGTACATTTAGCATTTTTTTTAAAAAAAACTTTTCTTTTGCTTTTGCTGGTGGAAGTTCAATATAATGGCAAGTACAATGGCCCAGTTCAGTACAATGGCAAGTACAAAACCAGATTTTCAAGTTTTGGAGGAGGTCAAAAGTGAATCATCAGATCATTCATATATAGATAATGAAGATAATGATGACTTGACATTGGCCAGGTTAGCCAGTTCCTGTGACAGCGCAGTGTAGCAAGACTTGGCTGGTACAGAAACAAGGAATGCAGACCTTGATTCAGAGAATGAAGAAAGCAGCAAGAGGAGTGCATATTTGACTAGTAGAAATGCTACAAAATGTTAATGCAACCAAATGGAATGATCCAATGTTGAAACTATGTTCAAAAATACAGTAAGGATCTTGGCAGAGGTGAAGTCTATTGAATGGAATGCCAGAACTCATTTAATGTCAGAAATCATTTGTAAAAGATGAAATGCTACAAGATGTGAAACACAAATGCTAATATACAAGTAAAGCTTTTTGTATGCACCAATAGCTACACTCAAAGATGTATTTATTATGATATCTCACTAGCTAAATTGAAAGCATTCATAGGTCTCTGTACTTAGCAAGTCTTTCTCAGGGTAGTCGCCATGGGCTTGTGATCTGTAGGATAAGGATGACACTGAGGATATTTAGTTTCCTTCAAAAAAGTGCCTAAGGTTTGATGACAAAACTGCCTGCAAGAAAGAACTGATAACCTGGCTGCTATCCACCCATTATTTTTAGAGATCTGTGAGTAATTGGCAAACAATTTACACATCATCTGAACACATGACTGTTGTTGAACATTTTGCAGCGTTTCATGATTGCTGTAGCTTCAGGTTGTGTATTCCCCCAAAAAACTGCAATATATGACATAAAAATTTATGCCATTGTAGATGTGAAGATTTATTAGGCTTTCAGTTTAGACATTTATCTCTTGGAACTCAGCCATCAAGTTTTCATTCATGTAGTAATAAACCAAATGATGTTGCGAACAAACTTGTTTATTCCAACTTCCAAACTAATTAGAATGTGACACTGAACAGTTGGTGTACTGGTTTCCAACTGTTACATTTGCTAACAGAGCCCAAGTTGACCAATCTAGTGACTGTACCCATGAACAAAGCAGAAGTTCCAAATGAAATGTTGCAATTTCAAAACAGAAAATTGTACAGTATAACCTTTGGATTTCAGAAAGATATAACATTGGCCTTGTGTATGGCAAAGAAAAACAAACTGGTACTGCCAAAGTCAATATTGCACTATGATGGAATTGTTGATAGGGAAATCTCAGAAGTCGGAGATGGAAAGTTTCTACAATGAAACCAAAGGTGGAGTAGATGTGATTGATAAGTTATGCAGCTACTATAACATCACTTGAAACACAGAGCATTGGCCAATGGTTGTGTTACACTCAATCCTAAATGTGTATGGCATGAATAATTTGATAGTTTATAAAATATCAAATAAATAACAGTATCAAAGAAAATTACATGGG